TATATATATATATATATATATATATATATATATATATGTGTGTGTGTGTGTGTGTGTGTGTGTGTGTTAATGAATCTAACAACGGTGATTTGTTTGTGGGTGTTTGAAGATAGATGGTTTGCCACATGGAAAGTTTGATAAGAGAGGGAAAGGGAGAAGCAACAAAAGGGCATGTTCAAGAAAAGGATGGTGTTAGATAGCTATGCTAGCATCAATTCTTGCCTAGTGGAAGGTCAAAAGAGCATCACTTAAGGCAAATCTAGGAGTTGTCTATGATGAGCTCCATGTAATTGAGGTTGATACAACTGAAGGTTTTGATGTAGGGGATATTCTGTCAATTTGAAAAAGGTTTACACTTACTACTATTGTTATTGTAACTTGCAATGGTATATATGTTTGTATTTAGCATTTCCTTTTTTCCATTTTAGCAGGTCGTTTTCTAGTGAATATGAGGCTATATGAATTAAATTATTGCATTGTATTTCTGCCCTTTTGAGTAGGCATCGTTCACTGGTAACCTTATTTCATCAAAACACATATATTTTAGTTTTTAGTTTTGCAGTCAACAATCTGGTCAACCTTAATGTGTAATAGACCTTAATGTGTAACAGACCTTAATGTGTAAACGTGTGATTTCTTATGCACATTTTTAATCCTATTAATAGTCAATACCATCTTTCCTTGTTTCAGGTTTTGTGAAATTACTGAAATGATCTTGGGTTCTGATGGTTAAAAAGGTTGAGGAAGAGAAGTGCCTTCTTGCTGCATAAACGATGTTCCTTATTCAACATTTTGCAAGATATTTTTGTTTTATTTATTGATAACATTGTATTAAATTGCTGTAAGACAAGTTAAATTTTAATACAAGCAATTCTTTTTTGTTTCCAATTTATTATTCTATTATAATTATTTCTTAATTTTATTCCATTTAAGTTTATAAAAAATTGACCAAATTTTTAAATATTGTTGTTTTACATTTCATTTAAAATTTAAACAACAAATTTTATTTATTAATATAATTTTTTCTATTAAGAATGTCATTAAAAGCATGAAAATAATAATTATTTTTGTAGTTAAATAGTGACATAAAAATAGTGCCACCAAAACCTACAAGTGATTTTGTCGCATAATTGAAAAGTGCCACTAAAACCCAATTAGGCTGTAGCGGCACAACCAAAAGTGCCACTAAAGGTCTTTAGTGGCACTTTTTTTGTGTCGCTAATTGCTAGGGGGTTTTAGTGGCACTTTTTTAGTTTTTTAGTGGCACTTTTTCTATGCCACTAAATGTCATTTTATTTTTAGTGATCGTAGTACTTGTAAATATCAACACGTGGATATAAAGAACGTCAAGAATAACGCTCGTATGTTAAAGATATGGACGAAACTTAGTTCCTACACTTCGACCGTGATAAATTCGATAAAGTTTTGTAAATATGAGATATAATGAGAATTAACCGATGGGGTCTAAATGAATGTTGTGGTACTCATAAATACCAAGGCGTGGATATAAAGAACGTCAAATATGGAGTTCGTATGAACACCTTATAATTTATAATAACATATTTATGTATTAAAAGAAGGTATAAATCATATATACGTATATATATATATA